CGGAGATGAGCTCATTGATGATCGGCACCACGCCCATGAAGTGGATGATCGAAAACGGACAGGCCTCGTTGAAGTTCGGCTTGAATCCGCTCACGAAACGGATTCCGAGCTACAGAGCAGCAAGCAAGCAAGCAAGCAAGTCAGGCTACAAACTACCCACGAAATCATGGATCAATAACGACGACGTACCTGCGCTTGCAGACGGCTGTGCAGAGAGAGCTTGAACGACTCCGACTTGATCAGGTCCCACGCCTTGTCGCCGGCCGTGGTGATGTCGAACTCGAACTTGGACTGTGCGGCGGGGTGGCAATTGCATAAGTGAGCGCATGCGCGCGATGAAAAGGAGGGGGGGGGTCATAGGTACGTACGAGCAGCTGCGTCCGGACAAGCGAGACCCAGTAGACTTTACCAGCTGGCGACTCGCCGAGAAGGAAGTTGAAATGCTTGACGATCTCCCTGGCGCGGCATAAAGAACGGCGCGCGTGAGTGAGATCGCACAAAGCAAGCCGGTGCGAGTTGTAGGCGGAGGTGGCGTGACGCACATGCCCATTTCCGCCTCCGAAACCGACGTTCGCATGACACCACGCAACACCGACTGGAGCGGACAGGGATCAACCGGTTAGTTAGTCTCCACGGGGTTTGTGAGTAATTGGGGTGATGAACGGTACCTTCACCGAGCGAGTGATCATCTCCACCAGCACGATGGTACGGAGCGGACCGCTGGTCAGGTCCTTGGCGCGCCACATGTGGCCCAAGAAACGCATGTTGACGCCTGGGAAGAGGCGTACGCGGGTGTGTCAGCATAGACCGCGACGCAGTGATTGCATTGCGTGGCGGGGGGGGAGAAACGAGCAATGCAGTCGGTTCGTACCGCACTGGTGCATGTGATGGGTCAACTGCGAGCCGTCCACCGGGTGGAACTGTTCCTGCAGCAGCCCGATCGTCCTGCACGTGTGCGATATATTTATATAGATAAGGAGGTGAGTACCAGAGGCGAACACAATACGTCGAATGCTGTGTTCGGGTCAGCGTACTTGGGGATCTGCTTCTGCACCAGGTAGTTACCCGCCTCCCGCGCTTCCCTACATTCCAAATGCAATCATTCGGGTGAGACGGGCGCTGTCGTCGGCTACCACGCTCATGCCATGGGAGGAGTGGGATGGGATGGGGTGTGGATGAAGGGGTACTTGTTGTGCACGGTCCACTTGTCCTTGCCAAATCCGGTGAAGGCATCCGAGGAAATGGGTGTTCCGGTCGTGGCCACGTACTCCGCCAAGAAC